CCTTAACTCCGGCAGCAGGATTCTTTCCTTCTTGGGAACAGTGGTGTGGGAAAGTAGCCTTTCTTTCCACAGTGGCAAAACGTCAGGGCCCGGTCGCAAGTGTGACCTTTGCGACCCTGGTAGTTCCGCCACTGCATTGGTTCCATTTTACACTTTAAATATCTTTTTGTTATTTATTCAGAAAGGAAACCTAAACTATGGTAAAGGGGTTCTGAACTGAGGAGGGTCTGCATGGAGGGGGCTCTGCAAAGGCTGCATGTGCTGTTCTCAGCAATCCTATTTGGCAATTAGAAGTAGAGCTTCCACTGATCCTGGAACCTTTAACTCCGGCAGCAGGATTTTTTCCTTCTTGGGAAGAGTGGTGTGGGAAAGTGGCCTTTCCTTCCACAGGATTCTTTCCTTCTTGGGAACAGTGGTGTGAGAAAGTGTCCGTTCCTTCCACAGTGGCAAAACGGCAGGGCCCGGTTGCAAGTGCGACCTTTGCGACCCTGGTAGTTCCACCACTGCATTGGTTCCATTTTACACTTTAAATCTTTTTGTTATTTATTCAGAAAGGAAACCTGAACTATGGTCATTTTATTGTGAAGGAAGGGGTAAAAGAGGAGTATAATGAAGATGGTGTGATGGAGGAGTCCAAGGATCTCCACGTTAAGATGGAGCCATGCAGTACCAGAAACACACGAGAGAGATGTCCCCGTCCTCTGAATTCACAGGATTGCACCCAAAAAGATCACAATTCTACACACCATGATCAGGTTGGTGGAATGGAGCACCTAAGCCGAAGAAACGACTCAGCAATGCAAGACCCCACACGGTGATAATTTATATGTGGTCTCACATTTTTAAATCTTGTATTTTCCAACCATTTTGTTGGTTTAGGGTGAAGATCTGAGAGATACAAAGGTTGAGATTAAGGCAGAAGAAGACGGGACGTATGTAAAGGATGATCAGCGGTCTATGAAGGAGGATGGAATTACAGGGACATTTATAGAGGAGGACACTCCTATAGAGATCAGCACAGGTGGGTCAGAAACATTACATACATTCCTCTCTTCATACTATAGTTACATAGTTAGTCTGGCTGAAAAAAAGACAAAAGTCCATCCAGTTCAACCATTTAAACAAATACTACTCACTGATTGGTCTAGACAGGGGTGTCAAATTGAATTTTATCACGAGCCACATCAGCATTATGGTTGCCCTCTGAGGGCCTGTTGTATCTGTAAGACTAGATGTCCAGATTACCTAATCCCTCTCACCCTCATCAGATGTCAACAGCCCCCATCTCATCAAAAGTCAAGAGTCCCCCACCTTCCCTTACATCACAGTGTACTCCCCTTACCTTGTGCTGCTGCTGGGGATGGAGCTGGGAGGCAGAAAGTTCAGGGTCTGGAGGAGGACCAGAGGAGGGCTGGAGTCTGCTGAATGCTGAGACCAGGGGAGGTATCTACCTCCCCTGGTCTCAGCATTCAACAGACTCCAGTCATCCTCTGGTCCTCTGAGGGGATGCTACGGCAGCACAGAGAGGTGCAGGGTCTGTAGGAGGAGTTCTGTCCTCCTCGCTGCGACTGACTGGAGACGAGGGGGTGCCGCAGCTGCAACAGAGGTTCTAGGGCCACATGAAATGGCCTAGCAGCCAGATTTAGCCCGCGGTCCTTATGTTTGACACGTGGTCTAGAGTTTGTGGGGGATACTGAGAACAAATGTCCTGTCATAAGCTGGCAATGATCACTTTCCTGAACTGTGTTACTTGTCCTGAAACATTCTGTAAGTTCTACCAGAATCAGGGGTAGGCAACCTTTGGCTCTCTAGCTGTTGTGGAACTACATTTCCCATGAGGCATTGCAACATTACAAAACTGACAGTTACAGCTATGACTTGCAGAGGCATGATGGAACTTGTAGTCCTGCAACAGCTGGAGAGTCGCAGGTTGCCTACTCCTGTACCAGATCGATGTCAAAGCCTCTTATGATGCCAAATTCAAGAAAAAGGTCCTTCATACATGCCATCGTATCTTATACTTTCAATGGTAGAGGAGAGCTGTAGGGATCTGCCATGCTTTATTGATGTTGTACATTTCTTGTGATAGCAATAAAAGTGATTAAAAAAATTAAATGGACAGTATGAAAAAAAATTGAATAGAATAATAAAAAAAAAATGTAACCTCTTCATGCCGGCCGAACGCAAATGTGCGGCCTCTCAGCATCTATGCCTAGACGCTGAGCGGCCGCACATTTGCGTTCTATTAAAAACGGACATATGTGCTGAGAGTGCACGCCCTGCCCGCTCCCAGCACACGTCCGGTACTCACAGAAAGGTCCCGATCTCCTCTTTCGATCGGGACCTTTCCCGATCATGTGACCGCCGTGACGGCGTGTCACACCGGTCACATGACCCTAAACCCCACCCTGCCTCCCGGCTTCTGAAACTCTTAAAGGGCCAGGAGGCGCCGGCGGCGGGAAGGGGTTAAAGCGCCCCTGTCCCCCTGTGCTGTGTGGTGTTTGCATCACACATGTGAGGTATCGCCACAAACGTTATAGCGAGAGCAAAAATTCTAGCTGTAGACCTCCTTTGTAATTCTAAACTGGTAACTATGGTAAAAATGTTGAAAGCATGGCATATGGAGACTTTGAAGCATCATAGTTTGTGGCCATCCCGCAAGCATGCGCAATTTTAAAGCATGACATGTTAGGTATCTATTTAAGCGGCGTGACATCATCATTATATATGGTGGGTTTTTTGCATTAAAATTCAATAAAGTTTTTTTTTTTAAATTTCGTTTGCAAAAAAACGTTGCGCAAATACCGGTGTGACATAAAAAATTGCAACGACCACCATTTTATTCTCTAGAGCCTCTGCTAAAAAAATTATCATATTTTAGGGTTCTAAGAATTTTTCTAGCAAAATAAAATACTGATTTTTACATGTAGAAGAGGAGTGTCAACATTATTTCTTTATTTCAGGTACTTATATATCGCTGTCAATTTACGCAGCGCTTTACATATATATTGTACATTCACATCAGTCCCTAACCCTCAAGGGGTGTACAATCTAAGGATCACATTCATACATACACAGGGAAAATTTTGACAGAATACAATTAACCTACCAGCATGTCTTTGGAGTGTGGGAGAAAACCCACACAGACTAAGGCAGAACATGCAAACTGTATGCAGGAGGCGCCATGGTCGGTAATCGAACCCATGACCCATTTACTGCAAGGCAGATGTGCTAACCACTAAGCCACTGTGCCACCCATTGGCCCACTCTGCAAGTGGTTAATTTATATGGGGGAGGGGTAGAATGTTGGATGATTCAGAGGACCCATTTGCAGGTAGTTTTGTTGTTCAGCAACTCCATTTATAACATTTGTATCATGTTTTTTTTTTTCTGGATTTTTGGTTGATATTCTGTCCCTATCATTTAAAATACACTGATGATAAAAATGATAGAACCTTCATTTCTTTGTAAGCGGGCCAACTTACGAAATCTGTAGGGGATCAAATCATTATTTTACTAGGATAGATGAGTGGAAATATCATCAATTGAAACGTTTCATTGGGAATCTCCCGAAACCACTGAGATTAAAAAAGGATTGTTTGAGAGGTTGCTGGAGACACGAAGGGATGGGAAGCACGGTATTGCCAAAGTATATAGAATACTCACTGAATTAGACACGAACACAAAGTTAATTTTTATAACAAAATGGGAAAATGATATCGGTGAGGTCTTAGATGAGGATAAACAGAAAAAGATGTTTAGACTGATTCACGAAAATGTAAGTATGAGAGAGGTGGAATTAAATTATAAGTGTTTGACAAGATGGCACATTACACCGAGTGTTGAGCATAAGATGAGTGGTGAGAATTCAATGTGGTGTTGGAGGGGGTGTGGAGAGATTGGCACAGTTTTTCACATGTGGTGGGAGTGTCCGAAAATTCAGGCTTTTTGGAAGTCAATAGTTAAACTGATTGAGATAATAACTGGGATTGACACAGGGTTAGACCCAACGATATGCCTCTTACATAATATCGAGTTATCAGTAATTAAATATAAAGAAACAGGTATATGGTACTATTTAAATGCTGCTAAAGGTTTGATACCCAAGTTCTGGCAGAAAACAGAGGTGCCGAAGGAGGAGGATTGGGTTAATAGAGTGAACCAGACTGGTAGGATGGAAAAACTTTACCATATACATGAAGACAATTTGAGGATTTACTATACGATATGGGAAAAATGGGAAAAATCTGAAATGAAAGAGAAATATAGGAAAGTATAAGTTAGGATAATAGAAAATGTCTCCTTGCTTTAAAGAGGAAAGAGTGGTTTAACATGCAGAGGGGTGGGGAGAGGAAACAGTTTTTATAGGGAGTAATGTAGAAATGTTTCGGATATTTATCTGTGCTATTGTTTTTCTTCTTGGTGAAATTTGTAATAATATGAAAAATTAATAAATATTTAAATTAAAAAAAAAAACAAAAAAAACTGTTGGGCCAAAAAAATATAAAAAAAAAAAAATCATTATTTTCCCCGCTGTATTTTTTTTATTTTTACACTGTCACTGCAGGCATCACTCCAGTATAACCACTGGAAGTCCAGCGACGTACGGGTACGTCTCTGGTCCGGAAGTAGATAATCTATGGTCTGCTTAAGTCCCGGCTTAGGTGAATCAACCTTTTCATGTCAAATAATAATCTTTATTTTTTCAGTGCATGGGCGGGGCTACAAGAGAACCTCAGAGGACTGCCTCATTTTGACTCCAGACTGTAAATCAGAAGATGAGGACATCACACAGTATTGTCTAGGAGAAAACCCCGCTTCCCCAATCTCCCATCCTGAGGAACCTCTGAATGTAACGGGCGGGTGCTGTCCTTCACACAGATAAGAGGTGTTCCTGTACTGGTGGTCATGTCCATAGAAGATCTCACATGGGCCAACGGTTGTATTTCTGTCCCGAGTGTGAGAAATTTTTTATCTCAAAACTCCATTTGGATGGACATCAAAGCGGCCACGCGGGTGAGAAACCTTATTTCTGCCTGGAGTGCGGGAAATGTTTCTTGGATAAGTCCAATCTTACCAAACATCAGAATTCTCACATGGGCGAGAAGCCATATTTCTGCCCGGAGTGCGGGGAGGGTTTTTTGTGGAAATCCCAACTTTTAAGACATCAAAGGAACCACAAGCGCAAGATGCCATTTTTCTGCGCTGAGTGCGGGAAGTGTTATCAGTCGAAAACAGAATTTTTTACACACCAAAAATCTCACCAAGGGGAAAAGCCTTATTCCTGTCCTAAGTGCGGGAAATGTTTTTCACGGAAGGCCCATCTTTCTCAGCATCAGATATGCCACACGGGTGAGAAGCCGTATTCCTGCCCCGAATGTGGGAAATGTTATTCGTCACAAAAATCCACGCTTCTCATACATCAAAAATATCATGCAGCAGAGAAGCCACATTCCTGCCCTGAGTGCGGGAAATGTTTTGTGCGGAAACCAGATCTTGATATACACCGGAGGACTCACACAGGGGAGAAGCCGTATTCCTGTTCTGAGTGTGGGAAATGTTTTTCACAGAGGGGCCATCTTTTAAGACATCACAGTTCCCACACAAACTCTTGAAGATTATTGATATTCTGTCTGGCTTATCCCCTTGAGGCAGTGTTTCTCAACTCCAGTCCTCATGGACCCCCAACAGGTCATGTTTTCAGGATTTCCCTCAGATGAAACAGCTGTGGTAATTACTAAGGCAGTGAAACTGATCAAATCACCTATGCAAAATAATGGAAATCCTGAAAACATGACCTGTTGGGGGTCCATGAGGACTGGAATTGAGAAACACTGCCTTGAGGATATAGGTGCAGGGAGTATGGCATTTCTGAAACAGGACCCTCCTGAAGTGTAGTCTCCCCTGCTCTTCTGCAGAAGATTCAAAAATCATATTAACCCCTCGCCCTCCAGAGGATTTATCCCCCTTCCTGACCAGGCCATTTTTTGGGATACGGTGCTGTGTCACTTTAACTGACAATTGCATGGTCATGCAACACTGCTCCCAAATGAAATTTACGTCCTTTTTTTCCCACAAATACAGCTTTCTTTCGGTGGTATTTGATCGCTTCTGCGGTTTTTTATTTTTTGTGCTATAAACAAAAAAAAAAAAAATTTTTGAGAAAAAAACAATATTTTGAACTTTTTGCTATTAAACATGTCCAGTAAAAGAAAATGTAAAAAATCTAATTTTTCGTCATAAATTAGGCCAAAATGTATTCTGCTCCGTGTCTTCGCTAAAAAAATAAATCCCAATACATGTAAATTAATGGGTTTACGTGAAAGTTATAGCGTCTACAAATGGCGGTATAGATAATGGGATTTTTTTTTCCCCTTTACTAGTAATGGCAGCGATCAGCGACTTATAGCGGGACTGTGACGGGCATTCATACACTGGGGGGAACTGACTTGGTGTCACTGACATCCCCAGTGACACCAATACAGTGATCAGTGCTAATAAAAAACACTGACACTGTACTAGAGACACTGGGCAGGAAGGGGTTAATGTGAGGGGCGAACAAGGGGTTAACTGTGTAAAAAGTGTTTTACTAGGGGGCAGGGGTGTGTGCTTCACTGTAAGCACACTGATCAGATGGGTTAACATTTGGGGCGATCAAAGGGTTAACTGTGTGCGGTTTCACAGTAAACTGTGTATGCTTTCATAGTTACATAGTTAATCTGGCTGAAAAAAAGACAAAAGTCCATTCAGTTCAACCATCAAAAAAAAAAAAGTTATAATCCTACACCCACAGTTGATCCAGAGGTAGGCAAAAAAAAACAGCAAAGCATGATCCAATTTACTCCTGCAGGGGAAAAAATTCCTTCCTGATCCCCCGAGAGGTAATCGGATATTCCCTTTCTACTGTAAGCACGCTACTTTGTACTGTGGTTAAGAAAGGAGGTCAATATTGCTTGCGGGAGGGAGAGCAGGGGAGATCAGATTATGCAGAAGCAATGGTTTTTCTTTGTGCAATGGTTGTACTATGAGCCTGCAAATGCAGCTGATATTGCTTAGACCTCTGCGGCCGGAGGGCCACATGTGGCCCTTTGGTATATACTGTATGTGGCGCTCGGACCTGAGCGGCAGTCCGTAGTAGAAACATTGATAAGGGTAATGGCATTGATCTCTAATGTAATATGTTCCCAGTTTTGTATCATCTGCAGCATATCCCCAGCAACAATGTATCTTGTCCACAATCTCTGACCGGGGCTGCTGTTAGAAATCATGGGGCCCCATACAGCCTACCTGATGGGGCCCTCAAAACCCCACCCCCCTGACCCTGCTTACCCAATTAAAAAAAAAAAAAAATGCAGCTTTGTTATCTTTCCCCAGCCTGTTATAGGCAGGCCATACATGATGCAAATTTTATAAAAATCGCTCAATTCCCCCACTGGCACAGGATAGTGGAAGTCCGCAGGTACCCAAAAAAAAAAAAAAAAATCCCTAGACCCCCCCGGGGTGAACTGATGGGCCCCCCCCCAGCCCGGGAATAATGTGACCACCACCCAGGAGCAGGGGCGGACTAACAACTCATGGTTCCCCCGGGCAATAGGGGATCATGGGGCCCCTGTGTCCTCGCCCACACTCAAACCACACCCAAAAAAGCCTAAGAAAAATACCAGGGGCATCTCATGGGGCCCCTGTCCTGACCCTGGGCCCTCAAGCAGTGCCCAAGTTCCCGATTGGTCAGTCCGCCCCTGCCCAGGAGTCATGTACACAGGGGAACAGTATGTATGCACTGACTGTACACATGACCCTACATGAAGCCTGAAGCTGCTATCTGGGCCCCCCCATTCTGTGACCCCCCTACAGGAGGCCCGGTGGTACCCCCTTATCAGCGGCCCGGTCTCTGACCCTCATTTCCTCTATTAGGTCTGCAGTTTTGTACAGTCCTCTCAAGCATTACATACTGTATATTGAACATTGTGTGCGGCCCTTTTGTGGTGTTATTGGCTACATTTGCTTATAAGTTGACAAGCAATGGCTTAGAGAGTGCCACCTGCTGACTGAAAGTGGTAATTATGACATTTTCAGAGGAAACCTTTAATATATACCTGATAAAATGCTAAATTACAGGCAATGATTATTTTTTTTTTTATCAAGCTGTGTTTTTTTTGCCTTCCTCTGGATCAACTGTGGGTGTAGGATTATAACTTTTTTTTTTTTATGGTTGAACTGTCTTTTTTCAGCCAGACTAACTATTTAAGTACATGCATGTTAAAATGTAGACATTATTATTTTGTTTATTACATTTTGTTGTGTTTGGATATCTTTCTTTGTAATACAGGGATGTCTATCAACCACCACAACTGCAGTACTTTTCATTCAGGTGGAATTCGGCCCGAGGGCCTTGTGTTTCTTCATTGAAAAATAATGGCACCTGAACCTGTGTTTGGCGAACCCGCAATCCCAAAATGCCCGGGTGTGAATGGAGCCACCCTGGTTCACAAGTATGGGATTTGTTTTGAAACTCACAGAATCGCATGACAGGCTAGATATTTTGTGTTACTATTGAGGTGGTTCACACAGATGCGGTCCACACGTATTGTGTTTTGAGTGCCCTTATGAAAAAGGGACCTGTGCGAGTTTGTAACCTGTGCGTTCCAGACTCGCAAGTGATAGAGTAGAGTGGCATGCGGAGATAAGTGTTCACATAGGATTGCTATGGACAGGAGGTTTTGCATTGAAGTCTATGGGAGACAATTTTGCATTAAAATCTATTGCAGGTTTTGCATTGAAGTCTATGAGATGCGTTTTCACATTGAAGTCTATTGGAGGCGTTTTTGCATTGAAGTCTATGGGAGGCATTTTAGCATTAAAGTCTAAGGAGCTTGACTTCCCATTGAAGTTTAGGGGCTTGACTTCCCATTGAAGTCTATGGTGCGCGACTTCCCATTGAAGTCTATGAGGAGTGACTTCCCGTTAAAGTCTATGGGGCATGACTTCCCATTGAAGTCTATGGGAGGCATTTTAGCATTAAAGTCTATGGAGCGTGACTTCCCATTGAAGTTTATGGGCTTGACTTCCCATTGAAGTCTATGGGGCGCGACTTCCCATTGAAGTCTATGAGGAGTGACTTCCCGTTAAAGTCTATGGAGCGTGACTTCCCATTGAAGTTTATGGGCCGTGACTTCCCACTGAAGTCTATGGGTCAACTTCCCATTGAAGTCTATGAGGAGCGACTTCCTGTTAAAGTCTATGGGTCGCGACTTCCCATTGAAGTCAATGGGAGGCATTTTAGTATTAAAGTCTATGGAGCGTGACTTCCCATTGAAGTTTATGGGGTGTGACTTCCCATTGAAGTCTATGGGGCGCGACTTCCCGTTGAAGTCTGTGGAGCACGACTTCCCATTGAAGTCAATGGGAGGCAGTGTGTGAACCCTAGTTGCTAGGACGTAATTTTTAATCACCATGGCGACCTTGCGCCTGGGATTTGTTGAGCCCTGTAACAAATTATTCTAGATCATTTATATCAGGCTGACAAAATGGCAGATTGCAGCAGGAGGAGGGTTAACTAGTTGAGGTCTGTGGAGCACAACTTCCCGTTGAAATCTATGAGGAGCGACTTCCCATTAAAGTCTATGGGGCACGACTTCCCATTGAAGTCTATGGGGTGCGACTTCCCATTGAAGTCTATGGGGTGCGACTTCCCATTAAAGTCAATGGGAGGCAGTGTATGAACCCAGGCACGAGGATGTCATTTCTAATCACCATGGCATGGCGACCTGGAGCCTGGGATTTGTCGAGCCCTGTAACAAATTATTCTAGATCATTTATATCAGGCTGACAATATGGCAGATCGCAGCAGGAGGAGGGTTAACTAGACCCCACTGATTTGAATACAAATAATTTTACAAGATAATTTTCAGTATGCAATTTCATTCCATGAAGGCTTTCATTAATTGAGAGAGATGGAACTTTCTTTTGGTGGTATTTTATTACCACTGCGGTTTTTATTTTTTGCTAAACAAATTAAAAGAGAAACGAAAATCATGAAAAAAAAAATATTTTTGGGTATAAAATTTTGCAAATGAGTAATTTTTCTCCTTCACTGATGTACACTGACGAGGATGCACTGATGGGCAGTGATAGGCTGCACTGACGAGGCTGCACTGATGGGCAGTGATAGGCTGCACTGATGGGCACTGATAGGCTGCAATGATGGGGCTGCACTGATGGGCACTAATAGGCTGCACTGATGGGGCTGCACTGATAATGATGATCAGTGCCCTGATTATCACCATAAATGTCCCTTTGTCAGAATTCTCAGGATCTCCTCTCCTCAAGCTGTGACAGCGTGTGAGGAAATGACTGCTGATAACCGGTAAGTCTGTATACAATGTGATTAGCTGTAATTGGACACAGGTGGAACTCTGAACTGTCTGAGCTGCTATTTAGCAGCAGTAGGTTTTCTTTTTTATGTCACTTTTGCACTTTACATGCAGGACTAAGTCATCCCCCAAGCATGTTATTAAAAGAAATTGTGTCATTTTTACGTTGCCCTTTAAACCGCATTAAAAGTCCCTCTTCCCACAGGACAATTTTTCAAAAAAATCTTTTAATCATTAGGACA